ACACCCCACAATGATTCCGTTCTAGCAGGACAGCCAGCTGTGGGGGGGAAATAACGGCCGTTCACAGAAAGTCTGGACGACGCAAACCGCCTCAAGATACGGCCACAAGGCTGAACAAGGGCTTTGTCACAAACTGTCAGATCTATGACAGTGGTCAGTGGTGAATAGATGCTACTGTTACTTTCGTTACTGTACTATTATATATCGATTGCATATTTTTGCTATTTACCATATTTCCTTGCGTCTCTCCAGGAAGCCTCACACGACATGGCTGAGAAGCTGAGGTTCCAAGCTCTGCCGGGGACGCTGCACTTCTTGGCGTCGACGTGTGACGTGCCAGCGCAGCGCATGGAGCGGCTGCTGCGTGCGCTGGTGGAGCTGCGCATGGTGGAGCCGCCGGGAGACGGCGCCCGGAAATGGCGATTGACGGAGCGGGGAGAGCTTTTGACAGAAGGAGTGAAGGGCGGAACGGGGGAATGATGGGTTCTCGTGGGTCTGAGCATATTGACATATTGACTAGTAAACAGTGGAGCTGATGGGGGGAAGCAACATGGAGGTGATTCTGCAGGGAGTTGGGAGGATCAAGGTGATTTCCCAGGCGTCATTTTCTCACAAGATCATCCATTTCGGGATGGTGGGATACGTATCCATTTGGGTGCAGTGCCTGGTGATTCAACTCAAGGATAGGTCCCAAAACAACAGCCTCCCTCTCCAAGCAAGCTCTTTCCGATAAGAACACCCGCGAAGGTAGCCGCTTAGCCTGGTATGCAACATACTGGTTGCCGTTCACTGCAGTCACCGGGTTTTGGCCCGACATGTACTGCGGGCATAGCTTGAAGACGCATCCGCATGGAACGCACAGTGCAGGTCCTAGTGGATTTGGTGGGCAATTTCCCAAGTAATCCACCGTATCACCCGGCACGGACCGTACAGCTCCCCAGCTCCCAATCGCCCCTCTGATTTGATGCGCCTGCTCTTGACAAGATGTAGCGGCTACGTCCGACAAGATGTCGCGCTCAAGTAGTGTCACTGATCCATACAATTAGATGTCCTGAGTTAAGTAATTAGGTAATTTCTTGCCGCACTCACTGTCAATTCACACATTCAGGGTCTTACACCATAGGAAGTCACACCATGAGACACCGTGTGCATCAACATGCCGTTTTGCACGCATGTAGTGCTTCACGTTTGTCACCACATGTTACAGACCCTCTGGAACCCCCCGTCATCATTTGTGGAAGCTGACGCGGCCCACAAGCCTGAGAACAGTGAAGGTCGCTTTTTCTCCACTCAGTTTACTAGTAACAAGGGCATTTCTACTAGTAGCAAGAAGCTACTTAGTAGCTCCTGGCCTTACTAGCAAGAAGCTACCAGTAACAAGGGTAGGTTCTCCGGTGGGAAGCCCCGTGTTCTTCTCCTTTGCCTTGTCCAGGCCTTGTCTGGGTCTGCTTATCCTGCTGGGCCGCGTTGTCGGCCCTTTTATCGCCTCGTCGTCCGAGCCTTGTCCGGCTTCCCTTTTCCACCGCCTTGTCCGCGTGTGTTTTTCTGTCGCTGTGAGTGCAACAGTGATACAGTGTTTCGAGTTTGATAACGTCCGCAGATTTTCTCTTGACATCATATGTCCCCTCGCTTTTGCACATGTGATCCAGGAATCAGGAACAATAGGAATATAGTTGCTATATTCAGAAACTTCTATGCTGATGCTGGTATAATTTATGGTTTCTGCCGCCCCCCGTTTCTGACCTTCCACAGAGCTGTATTGCCTCCGTCTGCAGAACATCCTTGGACGTTGGCAGATGCTGCTCTGGAATATGGACGTGACTTGACGAAGTTCTGGTGCGAGCTCCCGCAGCGCCTCCGCGATCCGGAAGAGTCCGAGCCCGACATTTTCAACGAGGCGAGGGTCGCCCAACCCGTCGCTGGTGCCCGAGCCCTCGCCGCTTCGGCCCCGAACACTCCCACCCCTCCATGGGGCTCTCCGGATCTAAACGTCGACTGTTTTGGAAGGGTTTTGGGTAGGAAGTCCGAAGTGGTTCATCAAAGAAGACCTGTTTTGTATTGGCAAACAAGCAAAGACAGATAGATTTGATGCGAAGCTTGTGCAGCTTGTGCTGTTGCAGGTGGTCCAGTCGCCCCGTCGGTGCCAGCGCCACCATCGCATGCTTCGGAGCTATGCGCGCCACGACTATGTGGAGCTGCCAAGGATGGAGACGTAGGAAACACCATGTGCAGGTGGAAAGAATGGGTTTCACATAGTTTCACCATTTTTTCAAGACAGTTTCTATCTTGGGGATTCACTCTAGGGGAAGCTCCAACTTTGGAGCTTTTTTCGGGTGTCAAGGGGGAAAAGAACTGCAGGTGTCCTTTTTCTTCAGTCGCCCTCAAAAAGTTTGGCTTTTAGTTTTGGAAGTTTTCACTGTCGACTGAAAATAATCATAAAATTTGTCAGACTGTCTGTGCAGGATTTTGGATTCGGTCGGGTTGGGTGCCACGATGGAACCTGTTGTTCTGGATGTGGGCGGAGGCACAGGGACTCTGGCAAAGCTCATCTTGGAGCATTTGCAGAAGAGCCATCCTGAGGCAGGTCCAGAGGTTTCACAGAATTCGTCTCGTTGGAGATGTGACATCCGCTCTTCATGTCACTCTTTTTTTGATTTGTAGACATCTCTTGGGTTTGACAGAAGAGCTATGCTTTGCCACACCCTGAGGTGCAGGTCTTGGTGCTTGATTTGCCAGAGGTTCTTGCCCAGATCGAGCCCTCCGCCGGACTTTGGCTGTGTGAAGGCGACTTGCGAAGCGAGTGGACAGCGCCTTGCTTGGATGGAAAGGCTCCTGGCGATCTTGGTGTGGTTCAACTCTGGGTCAACCTTCCTTTTCCGAGTTTGGGGTATATAGATTAAGATACTGGTGGGCTTTGTTTAGCTTAATAGTTCTCCTGGTTCCCTACTTTTACAGAGCGCTTGGCATACTAAATACCTAAGTCGCATCGTTTTTTGGCAGATGTGATTCACGGTACAGGCCTTTTTTCCTTGTTGATGCAGCCTTGCTTCGCTAGTCAGGTGCCAGCGGTGCCTTCCATGGTGGTCATGGCTCGTGTTCTGCATGACTTCCATGACAGTGCTGCTCTGGAGATCTTAAGCAATGCCTTCCAAACTTTGAAGCCAGGAGGGCATCTTATTATAGTGGAGCCCCTTGGTGGACGCGTCGCTGCTTTCTTTCTGCCGTACTGGCGCTGTGTGGAGTTGTGGAGAAAAACTGTTGTACTGGTATACATGGGAGCGTCCTTGTGCTCCACACGTAATGTAGCTCTTTCAATACGTGCAATTTCGTGTAAGTTTTCTTTTCGGTATACAAGCACTTGGGGTGACTGGGAATGTGCGCGTTGATGGGCGAGGTTCGTTCTTCAAGATGATGGTGGATCTTCTGGTGGCTTATGTGACCTTCACTTGCTAGCTGTGACTGGGGGGCCGTGAAAGAACGGCGAAAGAATTGCATTTGTTGGTGGAAGCAGCAGGATTTGTAAACTTGGAATGGCACGACATGGTGTCACTTCCAAGTGTCCTTGCAGCAGAGAAGCCAACATGAGAGATTGCACACCGAACATCACAGTCCGACTGTGATGTTTGCGGATAATGAAGACCAGTCCAGTGTGGGCCTTGGCAAAGGGGTGAGAGGAGTTAGATTCTTTTTACGACAGTCCTGCCCTTATTGACACATCAACCGGCAGTCCTGCCCTCATGTCTTGCCTTCATGGCTTGGCTCAAGCCTACAAAGCCATGATTGGTACAGGCTCTTTGGCACATCCAAGAAAACAGCAAAGGGAATCATTTGGGATGGTGAGCCCACTTGATTGAATTCATTGCAACATTTGTCCCACCTTTGTAGCATCTTGGAAGCATCTTGACATGCTTCCTGCTGCTTGCATCAAGCCGCAGCCCCAGTGAGCTTCTAGTGAGCTTCTATCTTGCAGATGCCCCATGTAGCACATCTAACAGCGTGCTCAAAGTGAATGTCATGACATTGACAGGTTATGACTGACAGATGAGGGTTGTTTGATTGCCTCAAGAACTGTTGGCAAAGTCGCATTGGACGCATTGGTGTTACTTCTTCACCCGAACCGAAGGCCGCACCTCCAAGTCTGGTCGACCAAACTGAAACGGGCCACCGGCAAAGCACGGCTTCTGCGGGGCGCTTGGACCACGCCCGTCACTGCTTTGGTGGGCGTTGCAGGGAGCCTGGCGGACCAACGACGGGTGAGGAGGGCTGCGGCCGCTGTGGCCTGTGCTACACGAGGGTTGGGAGGATTGCAGGGCCCCAACCATCGATAGGGGGGTATGTTTGCAAGTTTTCCAAGGAACTTATTCGAGGCACTTAGCTTGTTCTCATGTTGATGCGGGAATCACGGCTTGTTGTGGAGGAAGCCGAGGACGAATCCTGGTAACTGGCGGCTGCGGCTACATTGGGGCGCATACCGTGCTAGAGCTCTTGGAAGCCAAGTTCGAGGCAGACGGCGAACAAATATGGGAGCAGATACAGAGTGAACATTTGTCACTAGCTTCTTGTTACTAGTAGCGATGCACTTGCTACTAGTAGCGATGCACTCGTTACTAACGTCATTCACCCTGTTTGGTAAGTTACAACGATTCCGCCTCCGTGCCGGGTCTCCCATCGGTAGGGCAAGGACACAAGGACTCGGCGCTCGATCAGCTCATGTTGAGCGAATGGTCGGCGCTGTTGCAGTCACTGTTGCAGTCAGTTGCAGTCAACATGTGTGGAACATGCTGAAGCCTTTGATCATGCATCAACATAGGCCTGGCCTGCTGGGGCTGCAGGGGAACACACATTATATAGAGATGATGTCATGCGCTCCTTCCTTTTGAAGATGGAGGGCCTGACACCTTGTGCACACCGAAGGTCTTGATCTTGGACAACCTGTGCCGCAGCGATTCAGCGTGCCTGCATCGGGTTTTGCGCCTGGCAGCTGAGCATTTACATGTGGAGGTCGACGAGTTGCGGGGTCACCTGAGGCTGAAGAAAGTTGACCTATGTGATGAAGAGAGCTTGGAGGCAGAATTTTAGATGTTTAGTAAAACGCAACAAATACCACATTTTTGTGTTTTCCTTTATGATTCAAGTGACATTTTTGGACAATGTTTTGTGCTGAAACAGATCCCTTGAAGCTGAAAGCGGTCAAACCCTGGATGCAAGCCAATATTGGACACTGAAACAAATCAATAGGTAGGTCCCATTTTCAACTGCTTAGGCGTTGCTCAAGAACAGTTCAAGTAGTGAACCTATCCATTCCCAAGCAAATCTCCCGAGCTGAGATTGTCACAAAACGTTGGGCTCATGGGATCTCATGGGGTCATGGGGTCTCTTCTTCCGCGTGCACTGCGGACCCCGCGGACCCCGCGACGCTCCACGCGGGTCGCGGTCGTAGGCTGCTTTGAAGTTCGAGTCGTTTCGAGCGGTGATCCACCTGGCGGGCTTCAAGTCAGTGGGCGAGTCGATGCGGGAACCCTTGAGGTGTGCGACGAGTCCACGGTGTCCGTGACGTGAGAGTTGAAGAAACATCTGAGAGTCGTATGTCTAAAAGGCAAATATATAGCTTCTACTTTCTAGTAGCAAGAATGCTCCTAGGAGTAAGGAGGAGCTATTAGTAGCATCCTTGCTCCTAGTAGCGATGCCCTTTGCTCCTAGTAGCTTCGCTTATGCTGCGAGGTATTATGAGAACAACGTGGTGGGCCTTTTGAACCTGGTGAAAGTTTTGAAAAGGCACCACGTGAGCAAGTCCTTAGTGCTTTCGAGCTCCTGCACAGTGTATCGCCCCTCTGATGCAAAGATCTCGGAAGATTCGCTGCTGGAGCCGACGTGCCCCTATGGGAATACGAAGCATCTCGACTGGCACTACTGTATCGGCGTGAAGCAGCTAGAACTTAGGTAAACCTAATGATGAATGGGAACATGGTCATGATTCATGGTTTTGACATGTTGCACCCTAAAACAATCCATAGCAACTTGAGAATCAACGTAATAATACTCCCACAATTGTGTATGTACAAAAGAGTGTATATCTTACTGTTCCTTTACTACATTGACGATGTGCTGCAGTTGGGGGGAGGTGTCTTAGAGGGCTTGGGGAGAAGGTGAGGGTGGATTGGAGGGAGGTGGCCAAATTCTGTCAGGCTGAAGTGCACGCCACGAACCAGGTTGGACCGACATGTCCATCTCCTGCGCGAACCATTCAGCATGGCTCGGGCCTTCCGGCGATGTCGAAAGTGCGATCTGACGCAACCGATCTCGATCTTCATACTTTTGTTGCTCAGCGATCTGTTGACCGTATCAAACGTGTTGTTGTTGGATGCCGTTGGTTTCATGTGCGTGTGGTGCGATAGACCCGTTTTGAACAACGCAAATCCGGAAAGATGAGTACCCGCTGGACGACCTTGTTTGCAAGCCCTACAAGCTTGCCTTTTGTAAGACAAACGGACACAAGCACGAAGAATGGCTGTTGGCGCGAGTGCGTATCTGTGTGACTATTGCGCAATGCACATGATCCTTCTCAATCCTATAGAAGCGGCTGCAGGTTGCTTAGGTCCCACATCCACAAGCCAATTCTGCTCTCATTGCAACTATAGAAATACAAGCCTTGTTGATCCATACCTCAATTCTCCCGCGTGATTTGCGATGCGCTCTTGCCACGATTTCATGAACGTCGACGATGGGGTGACCCGTCGATGAAGTCGAGGTAGAAGTGGTGTCAACAAGTCCCCCCCGTTGTCCCGTGGTCCCTGTGGCGTTTCAAGTCTAGTTCGATTGACGTTTGAAACTTGCGCAACAAGCCGGACACGTTGTGTTGTTTCTGTGGAATGGCTGGGGTCAGAAAATGCATGAACAAGGCCACACGTGCAAGAGAACATACAAGATCATACAAGTACTTGTGATATTTGCGTGCACACCAAGATGACATGTTTGTACTTGTGTCAAGTGCTCTTTTTCTCACTGAAAAAGTGTGTCCGTGAGGCGTGTGCAAGAAAGTATGCTACAAGATTTGGTGGAATCAGATGGTTGGACTGTATCTTGCTTAAGATATTTCAACCCAGCAGGTGCTCATTCCAGTGGCTTTCTGGGCGAAGTCCTTTATCCCTCCTCGCCGTTGATGCTCGTCCCACTGCTGCGGCAAGTGGCTCTGGGACAGCGGAAAGAATTGAAGATCTTTGGGGATGACTATGACGCGAAAGATGGCACAGCCATGAGGGATTACATCCACATTCAGGATCTTGCAGATGCTCACGTGGCAGCACTGCAGCACTTACTAGCCGGAGAAGCAGCATTTCATGTTTTCAACCTGGGTACTGGGTTTGGCAGAAGCGTCCTTGAGGTTCTCCAAGCGTATCAAGATGCTTCTGGGTGTGAGCTGCAGTACAAAATTGAACAGCGGCGTGCTGGAGATGCTGCAGTTGCAGTGGCAGACTCAAAATTAGCAAATGACTTGCTGGGATGGTATGCCCATAGGGGTTTTGAAGAGATTATGGCCTCCGATTGGACATTTGCTCTTCATACAAAAGGCAACGATTCGCTGTACAATGAGTCTTGTTTCATATCTCAGCATCTAGTTCCTGAGCCATATGAGGTGGGAAATGTGTACCGGGCAATGGTGAAGGAGATTCAAAAAAGCCTCAAAGCAGGTTGGGAGCATGAGCATTCATTCTTGGTCACCAGCATTGGACACTACCCAGTATGTCATTGACCTTGGCGGCACATACTTGAGGGCTTTCAAGCTTGGACCAGATGGATATTTAAAGCTCGGGCCAGTAAAGGTGCCGGAACAGTTGAAGCTGAAGAGCACCTCAGCGAGAGATCTGTTTGATTTCATGGCTTCAGCTGTGGCCAAGTTTTTTCCAGCCCATGGACATCGGCGGGGAGCAGTTGTGCCTCGTTTTCTCCTTCGCTCTTGAATCGGAGAACGACGGAGTGACGCGAATGAGGCGCTGGGCAAAGGATTGGGCGACCAGTGGAGTAGAAGGGGCAAATTTGACGGAACTGATGGATTTAGCGCTGAAGCGACAGAAGCTTCCATTGCGAGTTAGCCGTGTGATGAACGACTGCATCAGCAGCGTCTTTGCACTGGGAGCTATAAGGACTTCCAGTGGGCCGAATGTGGCGGATGCTGCAGTCGTGGTGGGCACGGGCACCAATGCATGCTATGTTGATCGTTCCGGAAAGAGTGTGTTCTCAACAGAGTGGGCAGGCTTCAGGAAAGGACTTCCGAGTACGGCCGCAGATGTGGAACTGCACGGTGATGAGCTGACTTTAGAAAAAAATGGTCTCGGGCTTATATTTGCCTCGCATAGTGGAACAGCTGTGCCCAGATGCTGGCAGCCTGAGCATGAAGGATCTGGTGAAGGCCCTTGAAGGGCCAGAAACTCCAATGAAGACCTCAGCCCAGTTTGTCATCAGACGCTCAGCCTACCTTTGTGCACAGGCCCTGGCCGCGCTGATTGAGGTTGCCGCCAGGGGCAAGCCAGATGGTGAAGTGTTTCATGTGCTTCTGGATGGTGGCCTTTTCCATTGTGTCCCCATTTACAGAGCACAGTTCGAGTACTTCCTTGCAAAGCGCCAAGCATTGCTGCCAGTTCCAGTGAAGCTTCATTTGCTCAAGGACGCTGCTTCAATTGGTGCAGCGCATGCTGGACAGCTATGGAAGCCTGGACAAGCTGCAGACTAGCTGTGGATCGAATTGAACTTGTTTCAATGGAACCCGGAACCCTGGGTCTGTCATTTTTTGGAGTGGAGCTCTTGGAGCTGGCGGAAAAAGAGATGTTTTGAGTCTGAGATGTTTTTTAACTTTCTCTCTGGTAAACAGGTAAACGCGTCATCGTGCCATGCACGGCCCCGGTTCTTTGTAGTTGCTTTCTAGCCACAGAGGTGGGGTTTGCGTAGTATTATCAAGAGAGTGCAAGGGATAGAGATCCCACCGCCAGGAAGAGTGAATTTGGATTTGGCACGCCGGTATTTGGCTCAAAGCTTTTAATATTTTGGCCGTGCGAGCAAAACAGTTCTATCTTGGGCCGATTGTGTTATTTCTTCAATCGTTTCCAATTTTCTTTGAGTGTGGCTTGTCTCCAAGGTGCTGGGAAAGACGTGCGACGTTGTTTTGTAGCCTTTGGAGTGTATTGTTGGTTGGCTAGCGTGACAGTCGTTGGCGATAGATCCGATACAAGGAGTACTGTATTATTTTTTGCATTGCTGGCAACCCCCACCCAATACGCAGAGTTCTTTCAGTCTCTTCAAAACATGTTATATAAGTAACCATGCACCTGAAACAATCCATGGTTTCCTAAGGATGGCACCTTCTTCCCGATCTGCGGCAGCCGCAGCAGGCGTACAAACTATACAAACGAGCTCGCAAGTTCTCACAAGGTTTTTTAAGAAGAGCAAGAACAAGAACATGTAGAACATTTTGCAACAACAGATATGTGCAACAACAGCAACAACAGTATTATCTTCAACAACCGCATCCGTCACCGCCATCCCCACCACACTTGCAAACACAACAGCAGCAGCAACAATAGCAACAACAACAACAGCAGCAACAACAGCAACAATCGACCCCGCATTGATTTCGCCAGAAACGCCCATTTCATTGAAAGCCAAGAGGGATATGGTCGCGTTCGTCTCTGTCATTATATAGCTTGACACTGGTATTCCTTGAAGTGTAAATACCATGCAACGATGCAAGCACTTTGCAGAATACAACGGTTGTTGGAATCTTCATGGAAAGCAAAGACACTGAACGTTTAGTCTCACTGATTGGCCTGTTGCCTAGAGACCAGGCGCTGCAGCTCTAGTTGCTGGCACCACCTTTGTTTCAGCCCCTGCTACAACCAATCTTCGCGCCATGAGCCCAGAGTATCGGAGTGAGCATATGGATCATGGTCCACTGGTCCACTGCAGGACTAAACCTGATAAGTCCAACCCACAAGGCTGTGACCATGTTTTTGATGATTTCGTGTTGTTTGATTGGTGTTGTAGTGTTGACCTCTGAAGCATTACCAACCATTGGGCCTGCTCACCCCAATAGAGCCACAGCTGCAAAGAAGACACAGAGGGTGCCCGAAAGAATTCCTTGAAGCTGTGGAAGTATTGGTGCCCGAAAATGCTTCATATGCATCATGCATCCTACAAAAAGATTAGGTGAAACTTTTCTCTCAATCCCCTGCAAGAAGATGTCCTGGTTTCACCTCTTCATATCTTTCACACTGAACACTCAGAACTCAGAACGTTGAAGACGTTGAAATCTTCGGCCTCGACGGTCCGGAAGGGAGTTCCCCAAAACACCGAGGCCACCGCTGGATACTCCGCGGCCTCGGCGCCGTCCACACCGCAGGTGCTGAGTACGGTTCAGTCGCCGTTCGTGACGGGGTGCGGCGAGGGTGGCTTTTTTGGGGCCTACTGAGTCCCTTATTGGGCAGCGTTGCATATTATCATATATATTATTATAATATATTGAAAAATATGATACAATCTAACATATATATATAATATACAATATATTACACTTCATATATAATATAATACAATGTAATGTAATGTCAATGTCAATGTCAATGTCAATGTAATGTAATGTAATGTAAACAATATAGTATAATATAGTATAATAAAATCGCACAATGAACACCAGGGAGTATCTAAGTATTTTTTTACATGGACGGATTTCGGAAGTTTGCCTTCTACCAGAGACCAGAACGGGAGATGCTTTGGGGTTTTGCAGACAAGTCATCCCTTCACTTCCAGGGAGCGGATGAAGAGACTTGTTTTGATGATTTGTGGTGGAACGGACGAAGGATATATTTCCACGGAATTTTATGCCTGATTGGAACAAGTTCTGCAGTGTGTCTTCCTTCATGTGTCTCTCATTCCCAAAGATACAGTTTCTTGGATTCCGTGCCTCCCACGGAGCACAGGGCGAGGCTGCCTCCGGCCGAACCGCCGCGTTGGCAGTGGCGGGCGCAGCATTTGCAGCTCTCACGGCCAGCGGCCGGAAGGCTGGCTGAAACAGCAAAACCATTTTTTGTTGGATCCATGAAAGCTAAGACAGTCTGAGCGACTGTGGCTCTGCCGAAGACTGAGGCTCTGTTTTTCCTGTATCGCAAGAGATCACATGACTTGCTTGCTTTGGCTTGGCGTTCAAAGGGCAACATCAGACATGTGTGCATGCTTCGTGAGGCACTTGGTAGCATCAAGCCGCAGCTGGTGCGCCACGGGATGGCATTTGCCGAGAAATACCATCCGCAGAGATATTCCCTGATGTTCTGCTTAGGGAACACAATGAACATACTTGATTTGGTCC